AAAGCCTGAGCCTGAATTGATTCAATCTTTGCAGGTTAATGTAACCTGGGTTGGCTAAATCACTTTATAACCCAGAAATGCAGGCACATGCCTGCAGTGGCTCAGGCTAGAAGCCGGGAGGCGCTAGAATAGCCCTCCCTTCCCTTGCACAGGGCTGAGCTGAGGGGAGCATGGCCAGGCCCCGGCAGGACACTGTGATTAGGGAGGGTCCCCCCTGCCTTGATAACAGGGGCATTTATCAGCATTTAACACCCCATCAGAAAGCAAAGCTTTGCTCTTACAAGCTCTTCTTAAATGGCGTTTTCCAAAGAAAAATGCATACTAGTCTCTGACTTCTTTACCATTCGTTCCATCCAGGAAGAGCACATACCAACTGCAGGATGCTTCCTCAGCCTGATGAATGTTTTTTAAACCCAAAAGCTTGCTAGGAATTTTTTTTTTCCAACTATTTACTTGATCTAATAAAAGCTATCAGATTTACCCTTGTCTGTCTTTCCCAAAGGAAGGACTGCAGGGACATTACCATCTGAGCTGTTGATTAGCTCCAAAAAGCCATAAGTAGACACTGTCCTGTCTGCCTTACACAGGCACCTCTCAGCATTAGCTAGCAGACCACATGTTGGCTACAGTCCAGGCTGTGGGAGAGAGGAGGGAGGGATCTCTGCTTATGCAGCGAGTGGTGGTGTGGGGAGGAGGGCACGAGGAAGCCAGGCAGACACTGCTGTGCGTGCAAGTCTCTGCCAGAGCTCCAGCCAGGGAGCAGAGAGGAGGGGCCAGCTCTGCTATGGAGCAGAGAGCCCCGCCCAGCCCAGAGAGCATGCTGGGATGCTGGGGGTGTCTGGTTTAGCTTAAACCAGCAAGGCTGTTCTGGGACACACACTGCATAAACCGGTTTGAACCAAATCAGTAAGTCTGATACTACATTCAACCAGGTTTATCTCACACTGATTTCAGCCATTTTCAAACTGGTTTATGTGCACTGAACATTTTTTGTTACAGATTTAAACCAGGTTCTAATCACTTAAACCGATTTGTGTGTAATGTCTGTTCCTAGCCTTGTAGATGCACCATAAATGCTCACGTATGGGCATGCAGGAATTCCTCCTGATCCCTCTATCCACCTAATTTCAGCTGTGCTCATGTGCCCGTTTTCCAACATGTGTTCTAGCCAGTAGTATGATGGTTGGAGAATGATTTAATAATAAAAATATGGTAATTGTTCAGACCAAGCTGGCATCAGTTTGCAGATGCAGGGTTTCCCCATGATATATTATAGTGCTTTGCTGCAAAACGTGGAAAGATAATTTTGGCAGTAGCACATGCAAGAAAGAGGCAGGTAAATGGGATTTAAGGTTAACATGAAAAATACAGGAGAGACCATAAAAAGTTTCATGCTACCAATTTATCTTAATATTGAGGAATAACGTGGTAATGAAGTGGGAGACCTTCAAGCCTTCATGCATCTTTCCTGCCAACTTGGCTTCACCTTATCACATTTTTTATTAATGCTCTCGTTAGACATTTGTAATTTTCCAGAACTCTGATTATCCTTAATCTCAGTCCCAGCAAGAGAGAGATGGCCACCCCTGCCTGCTTCACTAGTGAGCATATTGGATGATTCAGAGCCACTGTACACTCAAGCCAGTAATGATTCACTCCCAAAGCAGTGGTGTGAGCAGTCTCAGCTTTTCTATGCCATCTGTGTTGGTAAGCTGAATCCATGGAAATAGGACTCGGTACACATGGCTGTTCCTCTGTCCATGGATGAAAATATGGAAGTGCCTCCATATGGTATAGTAGATGCTTTCTGTGATGAGAACCAAGTGTCAAATCAAGATGCTTTCTCTGATGAAACATGGTTATTTTTCAACAACGCTTGCTGTAATATTCTGCAGCACAGAGGTGTATGTTTTCTCATTTGGCATTTTGCTGAGAGACTTGGCTTTATAACTACAAATGTGCAGAGTCGTTCTGGAAGTGCAGGAAATCGTTAGTCTCTGTGCACATATGCACATGTATGTGTGCACCCCCTCCCCCCCCAACAACGTTAAGCGTATTGATTTTTAGGCATATGAAAGAAAATTAATTTGTGGGAGGCAGGCTTAATTTCCTCACCTTCTTGGTGGATTTTATCTGTTCACTTAAGGATGCTGTAAAGCAACCTTCTGAGCTATTATTAGATCGAAAGGTGGGTACAGAGGGCAGAAGGCTTCATCTCTAATTCCTGCAGCAGAACATGGTGTTTAAAGCTGAAAAAGACAAGATGATAAGCAGCTTTACAATGAAGATCCCTCCACTAAGGTCATGGAGTGTTTCTGAAAGTTCATGTGAGCCAGAGGCAATGTTTGGGGCTAATGAGGTGCACAGCTGCAAGGCCCTGGGGATAGGGGAACCAGAGTAAAGAGAATTTTTAAAGAATGAAAGCACTTCCCTCAAAGGCTTAAAAACATCAACTGATACAAACCTGATTGCTTGGGCTGAAAGAAAGCAGCTGGAGAGCGTAAAGATATGCACATGCTCAGGTACACTCATAGATATTTGCATTAAAAAAAATGTCAGTTAAACTTGGAGCTAAATAAATCACTTTGTAACCCAGAAATGCAGGCACATATCTGTAGTGGCTCAGGCTAGAAGCCAGGGGGCACTAGAGCAGCCCTCCTTTCCCTTGCACAGGGCTGAGCTGAGGGGAGCATAGCCAGGCCCCAGCAGGACACTGTGATGTTGCTAGCCCGCAAGTCATGTGGCTAGCCCACCCCGAAATGTCCTGGCAAGTCCTGTATATGGCAGCTTGATTACACTGGAAAAGAGACCCCATCCTGTATAGGTTTAGGGTGTCGAGAAAAGAAGTAATATGTTGCCCTATCTTAATATCCTGAGAAGGCTGGCTGTGACAGCAGGTCTTCTCCCTGTCTAACCTAAGCATCCTATTTGAAATGGAAAGGTTTTGCATCAGTGGGTGTCATTTTTGACCCCCCATCACTGAAATGCTTCTGAAAAAATGGCATTTTTAATCTCAAGAGTATGAGATCCATTGTTGTCAAAGCAATTTCTGCTCTGCTGGTTGTACCTTCCATATACCAGACCCGTGGCTGCCCCTCTGGCGGGGTAGCTGTGGTCAGAATGAAGTTTAGAGATTGCTTCCACTTTTGATGGATCAGCCTGTCATTTGCTGAGTGGGTCTGTCAAAAAAAATGTTAATTCTCGACCTCATTTCTTCATCCTTTACTATTTTCTTTGCATCAGCATTGCTCATTCAGCTCTCCAGGCTCAAAGGGCACCAGAGGAACACGTATCATGGAGCTCTCCAAGTTCCAAGCCAACAAGGCAAAAATCAAAACCTTGCTCTTGCATAGATTAAGCTCTCTTTGAATTGGACCAGGCCCGCAAGTTCCTGAGACATAAAAAGTGAAAGAAAAAACCTTGAAGAAATGGAGGGTCCATTGCAGTTGATGCAACTGAAATGCTCGGTGTAGAAGAGTAACTGTGAATCACATAGTGCTGCTTGCATGGAACAAAGTGGATTAATGGAACTGGGCTGCCCCATGAGTGTGTGATGATGTCCTGAGGATATGCATCTGCTCTGAATATTATCTCTCTTGCGTGTGCTCAGAGCTCTCCCTTATCTCTGGCCAAGAATCTGTTGTGAAGTAGAAATGCTACTGTATCTACAGGGCATCGGAAATCAACCTCCTCTGTGAATGGCAGCAATGCTGCACGACTGGAAACCCTTTCAGAGTGGGCAATTGCACTAGCAGTTTCAGCTTTGTGTGAGCTGTGAATCATTTCAGCACGGAATAAGCAAATGGGCATTGGTAGTGGCTACACGACTGTGCTTGCAGTTGGTCCAGCTGCAGCCAGTTTAGAAACATTGTTATCCCAGTGAGAAAAGGACATAAGTGAAGCAGAAAGAGGAATCTCAGTATATGAAATCTTGTGCAGCGAGTTGACGAGGTTTGGTTAGCACCGTATCCTTTAAAAACCCTGTTTTTCTGTATTAATTGGATAGTAATGGACATATTGCCTTGCACATTCCAACAGCGCCTGTCCTGTGAAAGGTCACCTCTTCACTAAACGATTTGTCTTTTAACTGTGACACACATGCCTGTGGGTGTCTCGTACCGGCTCTGTAACCAGCCATGGCTTGTATTTACAAGCCTTGCTTCTAATTGCTTTCCTCACTCCTTCACCTGACTGCATGCTTCTTCTTGCTTGATGTTTATGAGGAGCATAAAAAAGGGTGGAGTGTGGTGCAGATGGGGCTAAATCGTGGCTTGCCCTGGCTGAGACGCAAGGAGGTGACCTCCACAAAAAACAGCAAGGACTATGGCATGGAAGGCGCACTGGCAGGGCTTTGACCCTAACACAGGGGTGGGCAATTATTTTGGGTGCAGGGCCACTTACTGAGTTTTGACAAGCCATCGAGGGCCGCATGACAGGCAGCCAGGGGCAGGTAAGTATTAACTTTCTAAACTTTTTAGGGGCCCCATGGGCCTGGCTGGCCGCATCCGGCCCACGGGCCGCATTTTGCCCACCCCTGCACTAACACAAGTCAATCAAATTGGTTTGTCAGTTATTCATGCCGAATGGATCTGCTGGCCTTTGCTTATAGAGGAGTATAACAAATGGGTTTTGTGCCTTCGTAGTGGAGAGTTAGCCGCTGTTGGATAATGGACCACTGTTCAAGGTGGTCTCTGAAGGCCACTCCTGAATCCTCCTTCACTAGCAGTAGAGATCCCATGACTTTTTTTTTTTACAGGAGACAAGGCAATCACAGGTATCCCAGATACGTTTTGAACTTCCATAATGACTAGTAGCTTCCTAAAACTTCTGAAGACACAGAGGTGCACCAACACAGCATTTGTTTCCAGTTTTCTAATCTATATACTCCTGTCTGCTGTTGCCCAGGCATGCTTTAGGTTTCTCATGGAGATCAAATGAAGTATTCAGCTCCTAGAGGAGACTCCCTAAATCACGTGAAATGTATTTTTTTTGTCTTCCAGATATATCGGTGGATGGAAAGTTCTGTGACTGTGATGTTGTGGTGGACTGCAAGGTCGGGGACCCCATCCCCCTGGAGGTGAAACTCACCAACTGGAGCAAACACAGCGTGGGCCCGTTTGCTCTCACTGTGACCCCGTACCAGGATTACCAAAACGGAGTGCACAACTATGAGCTCCATGATGCCATCACCTTTGTGGGATCCAACACCTTCTATATCGATTCCGTGAGTCTTTTATTTAAATTATTGTATCACTCCCCTGCATGACACGCACACAATTACAAACAAATCCTTGCGCAAAATAGGCTGCGGACATGTGTAGCTTTGTATTAGTGAATGAGTTGGGGTGGGTGGGGACTGAATGTTTTTATTTGGTCATCTAGAAGGTAGTAGAGCAGATGCAGCAGCAGGGAAGATTTCCTCATGCTGTCCGGACAGTGTCACCTAATCATGACCTTGTGGGACCACCCAAAGGGGAGTTCAGCTTCGTGCCCATTAAATGCTAGTATTCTCAATGAGGTCACCAACAAGGGACATGATGGTTTGTACTAACTGCTGAATTGAGGGGCCTTGGTAGTTCAGTGCATGCATTCAACAGGCTTGACTGTGACAAAAGATCAGAGTTGACAAATGGTCCCACCTGGTGCCAGAGTTACTGGGTTTGAGGATGTAGAAAATCGTCTCCATAGAATAGTCTAAGATAATTGGGCACTTCTACATACGGTCCAGGGGTTGGGGGGGTGAGGGCAGCACGGCACTTTAATTAGAGGAGCACTGAGAGCTGCCCTAATTAAAGCACTGCCACATCTCCTGTATTAGTATCCCTGGCCTTAAAAATGGTGATGGCTTGTTCGACGAGCTTTAGTTCAAGTGCCCCCACCACCATTTTTAAGCACAGGAACGCTGGTACATGAGATGCAGGAGGCTGCTGGAGTGTGGACATTGCCATGCTTCACCAGATTCAGTGAATCGAGTCTGCTCTGACGTGCTGGAATTGCAGCGTGTCGGAGCAGCCTCTGTGCTTGTGAACAGGCACCCATTGAGACAACGGGACATTAAAAAGCTATCGTATGGTGACAGCTTTTGGCCACTACCAGTCTGGCCAGATCTGAGGGTAGAAACAAATGTCACCTTTGGTTGCTTTTTTTGCCACCTTAAAAATTGTAATTGCAGCACAAAGTAACAGCAAATAGATGTACATACCTGTTGTCACACCACAATGTGACAGTCGCAAAGCATAGTAATAAATTGTGCTGCTTTATTGCATCAGACACCTTTTTGCAGCAGAAGAGCATAGGGAGCCAGAGCTGCCTGCACTCTCTTATGCTGCCCCAGGCAGGTGCTCCCTGGGCTTGAGAGGCTCAGTCCCACACATCCCAGAAATTCCTGCACAAGATCAGGCCTCTCGAGCCTGGGGAGTGCCCGTCTGACTTAACCTGGTTACAGAGATACGCCGCTGGCAATCTCTGTGGGGGTGCATCTGTGGCAGGGGGGGAAAGGCTTCCAGTGCCACACCCCTGGCAAGCTCTAGGACCCTTGAAGATTGGTGGAGGTGTATCTCTGGAAGCAAGGAACATGTTGCTTGTTGTCCCTCAAGATCAACAGGAGAGACGGTGGCAGGTGACTTGTGTTATGCCCAATGAAGCTGATCCACTTCATTTGGGGATGTCCGTTTCGAGCCTGAGTCAGTAACCTGGGCAGCATAAATGTGTTACATTTCTACTGGGAGAATCGCCCTTCTCCTGATAGGAACTCGAAGTGTACAAACATGCACACAGTTTCTCCCAGACTAAAAATTACGAGAGAGTTAACTCAACTACAACCTGGTAGAAGTGGCTTCCAGGAGAATGAATACATGTACGCTTACCCTTGCAATAGAAGCTTCAGCGCCATCCCCCAGCATCCCATCATGCATTGCTCTGCCATTCCTCCCCCCACCCCAAAAGGAGACAGTCTATGACTTGGGCTGGACTCCACTGCTCCAGGTGAGCATGGAGCAAACTCCTACCCCTGACTGCCTTGGGGCCAGAAAGGCCCAGCACCTTTCACCAGCCCCACACTAAGCTGCAGGGAGATGCAGGGTGCTGAGACAGCTGTGTCCCCTGCACATGATTCAGACCTAGACCCCTACCCTCCTGAGACCCATACATCCAGACCCCCACCCCTGAGCCCTGGACCTAGACCTCTGTGCCACTGAGACCCAGACTTAGACCCCCACATCCCTAAGACCCAGACCCCAGATCCAAACCTAGACCCAGACATTGACCCGCCTGCACCTGGTAAGAGAGAAGATGCACTCTGGGTCTCCTGTCCTAAAGCTTCCTGCAGGGAGGGAGGAATGTGAATGGTGATCAGGATTATCCAAGGGAGCATGGTCCCCTAGGGTGGTCAGCCACTCAGTGCTGTCCTGTGCACTCAGCTGTTCTCTGCAGTTTCAAGGGAGCCTGCAGAGCATGCTGAGATGCATGTACAGGGGTCCCCTAGTTGCATGCCCAGCCCCTCTAACATCTGTCTGCTGCTTTCCTGATATGTCTGTCTACTGGGAGAACAATATCAGGAGACTTCTCGTGTTTCATTTGAACGCTTGTATGTGGTTGTAGATAAAAGACTTAATTCTGTATGCCCAACCATTGTTTCAGTGTTTAAAGAACTGTTTTTTCCCACAAGGTATCAAAAATATCCTCCAGGCTGAGTAAGCTCATTCTCTGCAAGCCAGTTTTAAGTCAGGTCATGAGGAAATGCCATGGGTTGAAATAGGAAAAAAAAAAGATGTATGTTAATGGCCAAGATGACTTTGTTCATTCAATCCTCACTAGTCTCTGAGGTGCCACCCTGCCCTGCCTTCTGCCTGACTTCAGACTAATATGGCTAACTACCTCATTTAACATACATCTGTAAAGGCTGAGTTCATCCTTTTGCTATCCAATTTAGAAAAAGTCTGAGTTTTAAAATCAGGCTGAAACATCCCTTCTGAGAAGAGTTAAGCCTTCTAACATATTCATTTCTAAATAATTCAGGTCAGCGAGATTTTGTTTCTGGGGCAAAACCCAGAAGATTATTTGCAGATATAATATATATATATATATATTTTTTTTTTCCTACAAAAACCAAAGGAATGGAAAGAGGGGGCAATATTGAAGAGCATAGTAAGCAATACTTCCACTCCAGTACCTTATTAAAAAAATATGAAGAGAGAGTTGAGTATATGGGATGGATTGCTGTGGACATTTACTTAGGTCTGCTCTTCAGTAGTCAATAAAATGCGTCTGTCATTACTGAATATTTAAGTGAACCTTAATCAGAAAAGAATCAAAGGTTAACCACTGGGATATACACAATGTGCAGGCTTTCAGCTATACATCAGGTGGAAAAAAATGTTTTTTTTTTTACAAAGCTAGTGAGTACAGAATTTGCCATTAATAATTTTTATGGGTGCTAATGTTCTTGTTGACGGAGTAATCTCAGTTTAAATGCATCCCTAGAAATCATCAACAGAGGAATTTCTTGACCTACTGCTCTCATTCTGGCAATGCTGATTTTTAATAAGTACTCCAGCTTTTTGGTACCCTGTTGCTCAATTGTCTGACCTGTGAGGCTAACAAGGGAAAAACTAGGAGTCTGCATAATGTTTTCCTACCTGCTGATGGGGTCTCCCATGCGGTCATAAGCCAAGAGATTCTCTCTCATGTGAATACGTGGACAGTCGTCTCGTGCATTATTCCCTCAGCATTAGCCCACTGCTTGAAGCTCTGCAAATTTAGTGTCAACATACTGCCTTGCTAAGAGAATAAAACTGTCGATTAATTTAAATCTTGACTCAAAAAAGGCAGTGAGGCAAATACACACTTGAAGACAGTATTTTTTATGGTGGGGTCAGTATCGGTGCTTATCCTCCAGAAAGTCTCAAAAGATCATGCGTACTCATGCTTCTTCAGGGCAAGAGTACTGAGAAGTATTTCTTCAAGCAGTCTATGTAATGTTGTTGGAAGCTTTCTCATCCTCCCACAGTGACTAAGTCATTAATGGAAAAAAAGGTAAATGTCAGAAACCAATGCCTGGTTTTACAACCAGAAGAAAGCTTTGTTTGGTACATAGATGCTTCAGGTAGGAAGCAGCGGCTCCCGGGATTACGTTAATGTTCTAATCCAAATCTGAAAAAAAAACCTGGATGAGATTTCAGTGAATCCATATTTTCTCGCCAGACCAGATTCTCCGTGGATGTGAATGAGCTCTGTTGAAGACAGGAATGGTGAGCCAATTTCTATCACCTGAGAATCTGACCCATCCTCTTGACACACACATGAGTTGATCATCTGTGCTGAATTGAAACGGACTCTTTTGGACCAAACTGCCACCTACCCACCCTAACTTTATACCAAGCCAGACTCCAGGAAGCTCACTAGAACCATTTTTCTTTAGTTTGGAAGTTTTCTGGACTTGTGCAGAAGGTGGGAATTGTAATCTTTCAGCATAGGATCATAGAAAAAACAGGGCTGGAAGGGACCTGGAGGTCACTTGTTTTAACTCTCTGCTCAAGGCAAGAGCATCCCAATCCAGACTATCCCATGCAAGTCCTTGTCTAACGTATTCTGAAAACTACACCGTCAACCCTGTCACACAATAACAAGGCATATTGCCCAAAGACACCAAAAGCACCCTAATGTGCCATAGATAAAGCAGGGGGACAATGACCATCAGTGTCCTGCTGCTACAAGGGTTGTTAAGATCCCTGGAGAGATCCAGGGAAGAAGGCCATGCCCACAAACTAGAGGAAGGTAAAAACCAACACGGTCCTTAGCAGTCTGACCGTGCAGCAGAATTCCTTCCTGACCCCAAATGCAGCCATTGGCCTAACCCTGAGCGGCAAGTGAGGGGCAAGACCCTCTAATCAAGAGCCTCCAAGTTTTAGTCCCAGCAGGAGCACCAGCATGTCCCAGTCAAAACCAGCAGTCTTGGTTACAGCCAGCGCCCAGTGCTTCTAAGGAAGGCGAAGAAAACCCAGACACCTGTAGCAACAGGAGGGGAAAAACTTCCTTTGCAGGCCCATATTGCAACCAGCAAACCCCAGAAACATGAGAAAAAATGAACCCCGTTCCATGCTGCTCTGCACATATTTGTTATGCAACACAAAGGAAAATAGTTTGAAGGATAAAAATTATGTGACTGTGTTTAGCTGTGTTAAGATTTAGGTTTGCTTTGAGTTAGGAGGGCATATTTATTGGCTG